ACACACACACACACACACACACACACCTTCCTGTGTGGCAGGAGTCTCTAAACTGAAAGCGATCCTCTCTTTGAAGCTTCTTGGCTAAAAATATGAGCATCTCTGCCAGCCTGCTACCTGACTGTTTATGCAGTGTGTGTGTGTGTGTGTGTGTGTGTGTGTGTGTGTGTGTGTGTGCGTGGGTGTGTGTGTGTGCGTGTGCGTGTGCGTGTGTGTGTGTGTGTGTGTGTGTGTGTGTTTGTGTGTATCTATCCCACTGGCCATCTGCAGATAACTCTGTGTTTAGCATACGGCTCATCATAAAAGACTTCAGAGGGATTAACATGCATTAAGTGTCCAGCGTGTTTAGTGTATAAATGAGCTGCAAGTTTGTCTCTGAAGTAAATGGGGAAAAAAAGACAGAAAAAAGACGTCTAAAGGTTATTAAATCCATGTTGTGATACTAATAAAATCCTCAGTGGTTATATGAAACTTATAGTCTGTGCAGCAGTAAATTAAAATTGATCATATTAACAGATTCTGGAGAACAATGCACCAGGCGCCACTGGCCAACACATCATGTATTTTACTTAACAATATTCAGTAAAATCGTTTCTGAAGTTCAGAGATGCTAAGATAGTCTTAGCATCCCTTCAGTTTGTAACACTAAAGATTTTCCCTGACTCTGACGCTTTCTTCTTCTTTTGTCCTTTCATCGCGGTTAGCAAACTGCTGTCAGACCCGCCACAGCCAACACATTGCTGTGGTAACCGCAGTAACCAGGCGTCGGTAATACAGGGAAAATTATGATTTTGAGGGTGAGATAAATCGTATGAACACTTCGACTTTTCGTAAATTGATGATTATTTCATTATTAGAAAAAAAAGTAAATGTCATGACTTTGACTTTATTTTATTCAAGATTCGGCGCCTCAAACAAAGGCAGACAGCAGAGCCTCCCTCGTTTTAACCCACACACACTCAGAACTGTTTCTCTGTTTCTCTGTGTGTGTGTGTGTGTGTGTATGTGTTAGAGCTCCCACACTTCTGTTTCAGTCCATTCAGACACTCGTGCCTCCTCAGCTGCAGCAGCAGAGCCGGGTATCTACTGATTCTGCTCCTCCTACGAGGTTTTATTGTAATAAATGACAGAGCATTATAGATGAGCTCTAACGCTCAGTGAGAGCAGCTGGGACCTCCTCACTCTCTCTGACAGACACAGCTCATCTCTCTGCACCATCCACAAACTGTGCAGCCGTTTTCTGCAGCTCGGAGGAGGCACACCGTTCTCATCACACAAAATATCCTCCAGCTTTAACATTTACAGTAAATGTCACTTCTGACCTCTTATCATGTGTCTATATAACTAATCCAGCGGTTTTGAATGATTGTGTTCATGACAGGTTTGAGGAAGTTTAAAGAGAAGCTGCAGTCCATCCTTTCTCTGATGTTTTATTTGATGCTTTCTATAAAACTTTAACTCTGAGTCAGAGTGGAGGACATCTTGTATTCTTCTCTTTCAGAGTTAGCTTCTTGTCAAATGTAGTGAGCATAGTTGGCCTACTCTACATGAAGCCGCAGCAACATGGATGAAGTGGCGTCCTCTATTAAAACTGTTTCTTTTTTACATTGAACCAGAATGAAGGCATTTTCACACCTAACCTGTTTGGTTCGGTTAAAACGAACTTTGAAAATCTAGTGTGGTTTAGATGCGCTGGTGTGAAAGCTGTCAATCAAACCCTCATGCGGACCAAACAACCATATCACTTTTTTCCAGACTTCGGTGTGGTTTGTCTGCAGTAAGATCATAAACTGATCTTGATCCGACCCAACTGCAGGAAGCAACCACCATGGACCCTCTCCACTGTTTGATCCCCAAAGTCCACTTCGTTTGTCTAGCACGAGTGCTCATTTTCAAGCTCAAGCACGGTTAACTTGCGTGGCCCTGTCACAGTTGGAGGAGGTGGGCTTCGGCCCAGTATGATACAGGTAAGCGAAATGGACGTGACCTCTAGACCTTTATGTTACTCTCTAGATTCAACGGTTTTATAATCGGTTACGTTTTAAAAATCGTCTGGTTTGAACCAAGTCTTGAGAGAGCAGGCAGCCGAGTCGTCTGCAAGAACACATCAGACAAGCTGCAGGCTAATCAGAAAACCTCCAAACCTCCACTATCTTTCTCATTATCTAAACACCTCACCACTTCCTGCTTTGTCACTGAAACCTGGAAAACAAACTCCTCACATACCAATCAAATAAGCTTAAACCTGCAGTCCATCGTACTGTGTTTCTAAACTCATTTTGTGGAAACGACAATTTCAGTCAAAAACTCTGGGACTCTCCTGAACTCAGCTGGTTGTCTGATTTTAGACACACACACACAAACGCACACACATACACACACACACACACACACACACACACACACACACACACACACACACACACACACACACACACACGCACACACACACACACACATGCTGTGTTACTGTACAGACACCTGTGGTGCTGTTAAAGTAGAAAGTAAAATGAAAAAGCTTCAGGTGGTATTTAATGATGCATTACCTTGACCAACATTGATGACTCAATGTTCTGCTCCTCTTATTGGAAACACGGGAACAAATGTGGGATTTTTTCCAAACAGATGTGTGAAGTGAATTATTTAGTCTTTGTGTTCCTGACCTCATAATGTGTTTATGATGTTTTACGATATTAACTTGTATGTCTGAAAGTACCATCACCTGACGTACTGCTTCCTGTGTTTTATTATCCTCGCTGCAAACCATTTTCTGTGTTTGACATGAAATGTGTTGGGCTTATAAAGGGTCATTTGTGGCCACTTTTTCTGTGTTTATACTTTTGGGAGATGCAGAATCTGAGGGCATGTCGTATCCACAGAGCTGTTGAAGTTTGGGAGGAAAAGAGGCACAAGTGATCCTAAAGCAAACATCCCTATACATTTATGTCACTATCAGGACATATCAATATTTGTTTCTTCTTTTACAGCTTGAAGTTCATCTTAGAAGGACATTTATGTTACTAATTTTACCTTTCAGCTTTCAAGTAAATAAAAAAGTGAAAAGAAGTGAACTCAGTCAGCACAGTGAAAAATTTTATCAACACTATACGATACAGAGGTCCTAATTTTTTCTTTATTCTGGAGGAAATAACATAATGTCATGACATTATTTGGTAGAATATACGTCATCTTGTGCGTGTCTTACCAGTAGATTTAGGCCCTGTTAACATGACATGATTCCAGACGAAAACAGTAACCCGTTGTTGCGTTTTGGCTGTTCATCTACACGACAATGATGTCTTAGGTTTCAGGTTCCAGAGTGCAAACTTTTGGAAAAAGTCTCCCATCTCCTGTGTCTTAAACTTGCAACATGCAGTTCATCTATAAAACAGACGTTTAGCACATATACGCTTCCAGTGAAAAGCCATGCTCGAGGTAGGTGGACTACAACAACAATGGCCGACTCCTGTTTTCTGTTTGTGTAAATGTGGACTGTCATGACTCCAATTCGACGTATTCTTGAAATCTTCTCACTTTGGCCATAACTTAATACTCAAATGTAAAAAAAAAAAAACACTGACGTTGTTGAATAACTTATATCTTTGTTTGCAGGAAATTATAAGATATTGCAAGTTGTGCAACTGGACTTTAGGTTTTTGAAATTGTTCATTCATAAAGAAACTGTATTAAACATCAACATGAAATCTGCTGCAAATTACCTTAGTCTCTATTCCTGTGCTTCAAGCAACTACAGTATGTAACTTATAAACCTTAAAATAGTCGTTCCTAAGTCGATCTAATAGCACAATAACTTTGAAAAGGGAGAATGGCGTCTCTCTCATGTCCTGTTTTCAGCACTATGTAACTTTGACAGCGGGTCAATGTCATCATGGTGAGAAGTCTTTACAGCTTTACAGCAAATAGTTCACACAGGAGCCAGTTAGCTTATCTCTGTACTGTTTGATACAAAGGTTGAGGTGAAGAGGGAGAGGACAATGACGGGAAAAGAGACGAGAAAAGAGAGAGTGACTGTGCAAGAAGCCAGACTAGAGGAAATATTGCAGTCTTTTGCACGATGGATAGAGCTTCAAGAAAGATTAGTCTGACACCGAGCTGGTAACAATGTTTTATGACAAACTGAATTCCTTTATATCAACTAATCAATCAAACAATCAATCAAACAGTCATCATTTGTATTGCACCAATTTATAAAAAATGTTATCTCAAGACTCTTTACAATTGATCCATATATTCCTCAGACATCCATAATGTTGCTTTAAAGTCTTTAAACTATGGAGAAACCAGTGTCGTTATCGAGAGATAACAAGATAAACAAGTCCAAAAAACAACGTTTACCACTGTGAATCAGAGGAAATATAATATATTGATGCATGGCTACTCAGGGATTCCATTTTAAAGTTTGAAAATAGAATATTTTTACCTGGGCTTTTTTATTTAAAAAAAAAATATGATGAACTTATGGTTTAAATAAAATATATAGCATATTTTATATATATATTTGTTTTTCACAGGTTTTTTTTTAGATATAAATAGTATTCTTCTACATATAATTCACAATTCTGTCACTACATTTTAAATCTAACTCCGTTTGTTTTCATATGTGGCCCTATTTATAAACTTTATATACATTTAGCACAAAGCTGTATACCCGATCTTTAAATGTTAATGACAGTAACGACAGTAACGCATGATATCATATCTGTTTTTATCATAATCATCATCATCATCATCATCATCATCATTATCACCAGGATCATCATGTCTTTACAAAGTGCTGCTGCTGTTCACGAGCTCTCTGACTGTGATATCAAACACTCGCTGTTTGCATTTTAAATCAGTCACATGTCCGTGAAATTCAGCTCCATCTGCCGCCTCTCCCTTTCTCTCTCTCTCTCTCTCTCTCTCCCTCTCTCTCTCTCTCTCCCTCTTCGCTCTCTCTCTCTGTGGGCGCAGTCGCTCGGTGCATGCTGGAGGAAACACACACTGCAGGTATTTAGATCCAAACGCAGACAACAGCGCAGCGCGCGGACAGGATTTTCTCTCCGTCCGCGAGGTTAGGAGGAGGAGCGCGCGTTCTTACCGAGTGCAGCGAACAGGGAGCTCTCACTCCCACAAACTTTGTCGCTGCTTCTTGCGTTTTTCTAAAACTTACAAATATATCCCACATTTGGATCTGATCGATGCTTGGAGCTCGTGGTGTTGTTCCCGTTCTTCCTGCAGAGCCTCAGATCCGGTTTCAGGCGCACCGGGAGTGAGAGAGGATCCAACCCGGGAGTGGAAATTACACGCAGAAATGGATTTAATGTTGGAGTGAAAGTGCACAGTGTCTAATGATGGACTGCGTCTCCTGCAGGGAGGAAACACTTCCAAACGTCTGAGAGGTAAGAAGTCGAATTGAGTCGCACTGAGATAATCTGTGGATTTGCACGCGCTAACTTCGCCAGACTGAACTGCTGTGTGGGTCTGTGTGTGCATCAGATAATAGTGCAGATCGTAAAATAACACTTTACTCGGCTGTGGAAGGACCAAACTGTCAATGATTTCACGTCTGAGTCTGCTCTGTGTGATCTGTTCCGTCTTTATCCTGGTGCCCTATTTAATTGAACGGACTCGGGGATCCGCGCGGTGGTCAGTTACCCCTCACCCCTGCAGGATCCCGTGCTGATGGCTGATGTTAATGCTGTGTAGGTCCTCTAGTGAAGACGCACAGCTGCCTTTTTCATTCCGATTCAGTTAAAGTTCTTGTCAGATTGAAACACAGATGTGTGTACACATCATGTGTGAGTCCTGTTTGTGTATGTGTGTGCGTGTGTGCGTGTGTGCGTGTGTGTGTGTGTGTGTGTGTGTGTGTGCGCAGATGCCTGTGGTTTCACTGCACTGGAAATTGGATTGTTACTCATTCTGATTTCTGTGAGTGAGAATTAGCCGCAATGGAGTACTTCAGAATACAGAATTCCAGGTTTGGCTCATGATGGTTTTTGACAAGCTGTTTCATGAAACAATAATGCTCTTAGGTCATCACATTTTCTACAGTGCAAAAGAAAATGGGACCCCGTTTTCATTTCATTCAAATCACACAACTCACAGAGTCGGTTTTCCTCTTGAATATTTTTGAATGTTTGTCATATTACATTCTCATCCCAAGCAGTCTAACAACAGTTAGTCACTGTCCTTTGGTGTCTCATTGAAATGCATTAGGAAGCACACTCTGTTAATGTCAAGCAGCTCGTTTGTTTTAATTTAGGCACAAAATAAGACATCAAGATTTTATTAAGTGGGTTGGATTGAGAGAATAACAACAAATACTTCTGCTTTCACACAAGACTCACAAAACTCCAACATTTGTGCAGCTCCTCTACTGTTCCATCTGTTTCTCATAAATGCCAAATCTGCACACTTTAAACTATGACAATATGTTTCATAAGTGTCAAATATTACTGTCTCATGCACAGGTTGAAGGGTACCTTCGCTGTAAGTGCTGCATAGTTTGACAATTGCGATTTGTGCAGCCTTTTTTAACCTTAAAGATTGATTTTTTACTTTCTTATGGCTTCATTGAAGATGAAATGACAGTGGATAGAGTATGACACCTTGATCCAACTTTACAAGTTTCCTACTGATCATATACTTGGGCTTTGGGTATCTGCCGAACCATATCAGTTACCAGTGTTTTCAGTTTTTACATCCATTAACTCTGCTGATCTCCTGAAGGAGCCAGGCAGAACGCCTTTAGAAATGATTTATGTGATGGCAAACCGATTCTCCAAGTGTTTCCTCGCTTTTAAATCATCACAGGGAAGTTTTCTAACCCTTTCCCATGCAGTCGACAAAGTTAACTGCATGGTTTTGTTTGGTCTTTGCAATGTTTTCTTATAGTGATAGAAGTTCTTGGTGTATCAAGCGTTAAAACTCCAAACTGTGAGCCTTTGTTGTTAGCTTCCTCCATTTTATGTCAACTCCGCCCAGCAAAATGCCCAGACCTACCAGTGAGTGGAGGACATGACTTAGCACACCCAAGTAATTGCCGTAAACACAGGATAGCATAGAACTGAAGTAAATAGATTGGCCTCATGGCTTGTCCTATTGTCACCGATATCTGAGCTAGCAACTAAGTCAAGATTGGATTTGTGCATCCCTAAACCCAACTACAGCCTCTTACATGGGGCACCCAGTATAACCTCGTGGCTATCTGACGCCCCGTGCAAATAGAAAGCAGAGTAAACTCAAACACTTTGTGCTGCTACTTTTTATTGATTTTACAGCCGTATGTCCCATCACGGTCATTGAGGTCTGCTGATCAGTCACTTCTGGTTGCACCTAACGCTAGGCTAAAGCATAGGGGAGACTGGGCCTTCTCAGTTGTAGCCCATAAATTGTGGAACCAGTTGCTCCCCCAGGTTAGGCTGGCATCCACGTTGCCCGTGTTTAAATCTAGTCTAAAAGCTTATCTGTATGCTGTGGCGTTCCTAGACCCAGTATAAGAGTTTGTTTGTGTCTGTGGTATTATTCTTTTTTGTTCGTTTTGTTATTTATTATTTTTTCACTTTTTATGCTTTGTGACTATTTGATGTAAAGCACTTTGGTCAACTCTATGGATTTTAAATGTGCTCTATAAATAAAGTTGGATTGGTTGATGCAAGATAAAAACTTACCAGGTTCATTTTCCAACTCTAGTCTATAAAAACGTCTGCTGGATATCACATCAGTGCACCTCATCACCAGAGCACAGAGCATTAACTGACCTCTGTGCTGGTAGTCTGTGAGTCACATAACCCAACACTGGTGAGGCAGGGGTTCAGTTACACAAGGTTTTGAGTTAGCAGCGTTATCAGCAGCTCATTGTCCCGCTTCTGGTTTAGCTGTGGCTTTATATGGGGGCTGTTAACGGCGCCGACATGTATACTTTCAGCAGCTACACCTGCAGCACAGGCATTGGTTAGAGATCTGTTAGTCTACAGGTTGTGAGAGACTGTTACTATTTCTTAATGGTTAGAATCTACAGTAAGAAACTTAGCTTATGTGCATAATTTCTAGGGCTGGGTATTTCCCACAACCCCACTATACGATACATATCGTGATAAACATTGATTTTGGATAATGACCATGTCCTATACACAGAATTCACTACAACAGCTCTTCTATAATGTTGATAATAACAGCAGAGGCATAAGGACCCTAAATCTTAAAACACTTAAATTCAGGTCCTAAAATATTTTAATCATTACAGGTTCAGTCATTTTTTTAGCGCAGCCCTAACAATTTCCTGTACTTTTAATTTTGCAGAAAAAAATAAATAAAAATAAAATATATTTGCACCGTACCTCTTTTCACACATGCACTCCTGAAAATGTCGACATCATTTCAGGACAGACTGCCCCTGAACATTTACAGAGTTAGTTGTTCACACGTGCACCTCACAGTAGGAGACTTTGCCTGTCAGATGGGCGTGGTGGGGGATGTCTAGAGGCAGAACATGACGTAAAAAGTGATGGAAATGGCAGACAAAACAAAAGATTCAGCAGCTATAATGATATTTTTTTCCTTTACATCAGTTCTACCTGTAATTGGACGTATACAAAGTTTTCAAGAACGAGTGGAAAAGAGCTAATTGGGGAGCAGAAAACAAGATACATTGTGTTCATGACGATTGCACTGGTCGCATGATAGAATCTCCATGCCCAGTTTCTCATGATGAATTTTTCCTGAATATTACCTGTGATCATTCATCGACTAACCCTTACTTCCCGCGGAAATGTTACCTGGAGGATTCCAGGACTGATTCAGGGTAAAGTGTAAAATCTGTCAATTTGCATTCAGGCATGCAGCTCACACCGAGGTAAGGTATCAGCAGGTGTGAAAATATACAGAGCCAACTGATTATTTGGCCAGACCAAAAAATATGATATTGAATCAATGCATTGACTGAGACACTTGCTGATTCTTGATACAGAAATGTAGGCAGTATTGGAGGGCGATGTTGAAACAGGTATAGATATCAGAACAACTCTTCACTGCAGCATCACACATTCCTCCTGGAGTGATGGAAAAATATATATACCTTTTTAGCAATAACCACTCGAGCTGATTGAAACCCAGCAGAAGCAGCTCTCAGGGTTAAAGATGCAGCAGGTGAGTCAGTCTGTGAGATAGGGTGGGGGGGGCTGGGGCTCATATTTGCAGCTTGATTATCGAACACTTTGATATTCTCATTCCTCATCATGTTTTGGCCTTCAGGGTTCAGAGTGTGTGGCTTTTAACAGTTTGCGACCTTGACCTTGAGTGTCTTGATCACTTCACCGTTTGTTGGGTTGGGGGTGCAGCTGAATAATGAATGAGCTTGTATGGAGGCTGTCTATTTGCCTGAAGCCCTCCTGCAGGGGATTGTGGGTGTGCATTCAGGTGAAGTAGCACTCCAAGTGAGGGAACCTCCGGGCTCTAATCTGCCAGTCTACTAAGAGATGACCTTTGCCTTGTGCAGATTAGTGCCATGCTCTAATTGACTTACCATTAACCCTTCCAACACATAATTTGGTGTCATGCTAGAGGTGGCTGAGCTGTGCCGTGTCCTGATTGTTTTTTTTGAGGGCAGGGGCATTAATCTACCTCGTTGTCCATCGCTGAGTTCCCAGGCTGCTGCAGTGAAACTGCTAATCCCTCGGTAATCATAGCTTTAATCTGACAGAGCTATGACTTGCTTTACCTCACTGCTGCCCTTAATGGAATATGAGCAGGCACGCTCTGCTGCCAAGCAAGAATTGTGTGGTTTACTTCACCATCTTTACCAGTTGCAGAAAGTGCTATCTCAGAGTGAGAATCAGTTGTCTTACTTCTGTCCTTTATCTCCAGAAGCTAACAAAGTCTTGTAAATAATATTCAATTATACCTCTGCTGTAGTTTCCTTCTGATGACAGTATTGACAATTTGCCTGTAAAGTCGGGGTCTGTAGCTCAAGTACTGTTAATACTGCTGTGTGCCAGGTAATAGTGTTATACATTTAGAGTGTCCAATAAATCATCAATTACACATCTTCTGGATTGATCAGTGACCAAAAAGACAATAAACAATGACAACCAGGAGGGACATCTGTCCTAAAGATGTTCCTTGCTACTCATTTTAAAAAGAGACTAGCAGACGGAGAAAGAAGAAAACAATTAGAAAACAGTCAAAATTGAGAAAATGTCTTTGAATTGTCTGATGCTAAAAGGGTAAACAATGTAACTAGGTTTGCAGAGTTTGGCAAACGTTATTAGCGCTAGCACCGCCAGCCTTGTTGGTCCTCCTTGCAGGTCAACCTCCTAAATGTGGTTACTCATTGCTTTGGTCGATATGCCAGTTCAACCTGACATACAACTCCATCTCCATTTTCAAAATACTGCCAAAC